TTTTAAGAGAGAAAAAGATAAAGACTTCTGAGTTTTCAATGGAGAATTTCAGTCCTATAGGCACAGTGTGAAAGAACAGAAATTTTGAATGACAAGATGAGGCAAAGATATGTATTAAGAAAACATTCATGGAGAGATGATACATATCACGAGACAAAAACATGTAGACACCTGAATGACGTTATAATTGAAAAGAAATTAACATTTTTGTGAAATTAGATGTTGCAATGTTTTCTTTCTTTGAGTGTATACAAAATGATGGTTTTAGGATTCAGAAACTCCAACAGGATCACTTCCAAAAATTAAACAAGAATCCTAAAATTGACTTTAAACATTGAAAAGCAAATAATTGTTTCTACTATTGATTATTTGGAAAAGTACGTGATATGCTTTGTGCTATTTATTTTTAACTGTAGTTGCAACTTACAAACAATACCCTAATCGAGTTTGTGGAAAGATTTAATAGTAAAATCAATCTGTGTTCATGTTAGAGCTGAAAAACACAGCTGTGAAAAGAAATATATTGAGAAATGTGTGAAATAATTACGCTCTCCATGAAAAACTGAAGAGAGAAGGAAAGACACCTTTGACTGAACTGAGTGGAAAGGAGTTGACCTCGTTATTTGCAATTTTAATACACCACAGAGGGCATACTTATGTGTTTCAGATGCAACACGGTCAGAGGGTGATCTCCATAGCTATGCGGTCGGTACAGGTACACATCACTGCCACACTCAAGATGCATGATCAGGAAAGTTAGGCTAGCGGGTAAAGCTTCATCAAGGTGGCCGGCAGCACCAACACAAACGCTAAGAAACAAAACATTCCGTCAAGGAAAGAGGCAGGGGGCGAAGTCCAGTTCTCCCACGAAATCGTCACACGTTTGTACTCATATTGTTCCCCATGTCAGTCGTATTACAGGAAAAAATCTAAGTCATCGAAGGGATTGACAATGTCCCTCTGTCCTCAAGCTTACCCGCCAGCAACTAGGTGAATAACAGTATCCCGATGTGGCATTATCCGATCGAGAGCACAAACATGCGAGGGAATTCCAACACAAGGCTGTCGATGGGAGAGTTGCGTTGCAACTATGCTCAAGACACACAAAATCCGCTTTAGCGGCCGACTTCGAGGGACTGGGTCTCACGGACGACTTCACAACACGAACGTAAACAAACGACTGAGAAGTGGTGGCGTCGCGACTCGCGTCTCTTCGTACGAGCAAGCCGAACTCCACCCGAACCTCACTTCGGTTTGCTTCGGTCGCTTCGGCAGACCCCGGCGTTAGGAGAGGAGGGAGAGGGGGTAAGGGGTGTCCAAAAAAACACACACACATACACACGCGCGCGCGCTCGCTCACTCATACACACACACAAAGGCAGGCGAGGTCACGTGATAATGTTTACAACTCTCTCCACCGCCCTCTTACTGCAATCAAACGACTTGGACTCCTAGCTCCCTCTACAGACATTTACTAAAACGAACTATTCAAACTGGACAGCGGGAAGCTCCTCTGTCATTCTGGAAAGAAAATATCAGTCCAGTAAATGAAGAAATACGAAGAAATCTGCTCTACTTCAGCACAAGTTGCAATTTCACGCACCCGATTCTCCCCCCCCC